AAGAAGGAGACGTAAGAGAGAGTGGAGAAGAGAGAGAATTGATGAGAGGAGAGAGGGATGGGGAGAGAAAGAGAGGGAGAAGAGGAGATGAGGGAGAAGAGGAGAGAGAGAGGAGGAGGGAGAGGGAGAGGAGAGGGAGGAGGGAGAGGGAGAGGGAGAGGGGGAGAGAGAGAGAGAGAGGGAGAGAGAGAGAAGAGAGAGAGAGAGAGAGAGGAGAGAGAGAGAGAGAGTGAGTGAGTTCAGAGACGGGGCGAGAGACTCGTCAACAGATCCAGGGAGGAAGAAAGAGCGCAGCTAAAGAAGAGACCAGAGCCTCCCGTGTGCTCACACTGCAAACGGCAGAGACACAACGAACGGGGACTGCCGTAGTAAGGCCTCCTGTGAATTTTGCAAGGCAAGGGGTCACTCTCTGGACAGTTGCAGGTGGAAGGCCTCGGCAGATAAGTCCGAACTGCTCGAAAGAGAGCTCAGGACGTTGTTTTCAGAATATGGAAGCTCAAACACAGAAAACGGTAGTTCACCCTCAGCCTCTACTCCCATCTCCGCCACTTCAACAGCGATACTTCTTTCCACCGCTACACTGGGCCCCTTATCAACTTGCTGTTCCTTCTTGGACACACCCTAACTTTAATACCCACCAAGGGCCAGTGTATTAAATGGCATCATTGATTCATATCCCTCAAAATAACATCCACAGACAGCTCTCCGTTCTGTCTGCCAATGTCAGAGGCCTCGGAACCAATATTTTTGAACTGACTCACGTGGCCCTCAGACTTACCAGACTGGCTGGGAGCTATCTTTTTGAAGGTCGTACTTACGTCAAACGAGTACCTGCTACTTTGCGCTCATTATAGGCCGCAGTGGCTAGGCAGGACTTCGATAAACTTCCTAACGGAAAACTTAGACGTCCTTCAGGCTCGCAACAACTGTCAGCATCTCTTAATAGTTGGGGACCTTAACCACCATCTCATTCAGTCAGCACACGAGGACCTTCTCTCGGTTCACGGGCTGACAGATTACGTGGATTTCCCGACGCACATCCTTAGTAGATCTCTAGATCCTGTTATAACAGGTCTGACTGAGGAATTTATCTCCTGCTCACCGCTTTATGTCACACCTTTTCCTTACACATGCAACTGACGAAATCAGACAAAGAAAAAATATGGCTTATGAACCACACAAACTGGCCAGGTATGAAGACAGAACTTCAGGCACAAGACTGGGAAGCTCTTCTGGCGGGGAACACAAATGACAAAGCATCCTCCATCACCAGCCTCCTCGCCGAAATGCAGGAGAAATACGTCCTTTCGCGGACATACACCACAAAACCAGGGGATCAAGCCTGGTTTGGCTCATATGCTATCAAACGTCCAAAAAGAAACACAGATTGTTACAATGATACAAAGCCAATCCCACAAGACATAATAAGAATCTATAAAAATGCATGCAAAGAAATGACAGTCACATGCAAATGGGCTCGTAACAGATGGCAAGCGGAAATGAAAAGGAAACTAACAACTATGGGAGCAGGCAGCAAGGAGTGGTGATCACTCATCAAGGAGCACCAAGGGGAAACCCGCGAATCCACAATACCTTCACTAATCAAGCCCGACGGAACAACTACTTCAAGTAATCGAGAAAAAGCTGACCTTCTGGGAAGCTTGTTTAGTCGAAAAATGACAGTGCCAGATGCAAACAGAATCCCTCCAGAGATACCCTCAGTGTACCATGAACAACTCCCTGGTCTTCAAATCTGTCACACAAGAACAAAAGAGATCCTCCAGAATTTAAACACAAGGAAAGCACCAGGATCAGACGATATCAGCCAGCCACACACGCTCCGCAGGTGTGCAGCCGAGCTATCCCAGCCGTTATCATCCATCTTCCAGTCATGCATCGAAGAAAGCTGCTGGCCCACCATCTGTAAGGTAGCAATAGTGATTCTTCTACATAAGAAACAATCAAAAACAAATCCAGGCAACTACCGGCCCATCTCCCTCCTGCCATGCATCAGCAAGGTATTTGAAAAGATCATTGCTGAACAGCTCATGGAACACCTGGAAAACCACAATCTTATTTCCATCAGACAGTTTGGTTTTCGTTCCTCCCGATCGACTGCTGACCTTCTTCTGATAAGCAAAAACTGGCAGGATGCTCT